TGCATCCTGCCTAATCTGACATTTGGTCAAACAGTGAAATAAAGCAAGCAAATTAACTATCCAGGCAGCAGGAAGAGACCTAGTATAAATACAGCACACCAACATATGGCCACTAACTTATCTGCCTGTTTTGACGGATTGCCATCTAGTTATATATCAGATGGTTATAATGAAAAAACACATTACTCAAATTAGCTGAGTTTTTCCCCAAGGTAAGATAAACACGCACAGTAGCGTTTTGGTTGGTTCATTCTGGTTTCTGTAAGTCAGTTCAGCTGATAACAGCACTTCTACCAGCTCTTAACATCACATGACTCAATCCCATGAGGGCAGATGTTCTCCTCCTGAGAACCTGTTTACATTAGATATTTATCATGTTGGAATGCAATCCTAGGCATCTGAAATTGCCACTTATCTTTCAGCGCCATTCAATGATCCTGACAGCAATGTAGCATCTTTTCCGGGCCAGTAGGACTTAGCGGTGCCACCCAGCCAGTGTTTACAATCCAAATAGGACAGGTTTTCCCACTCTAGCTTACCATGCTGCTAAAAGTGTTGCGGTGGGACTCCTATTCAATTTTGTCCAATTCTACACAAAGGTTTAAGCTTCTTCCAGATGTTTTGCATTTGGCACAATTGAGGTGATTCAGTGATATTGCACAGCTTTCATACAGAACGGCATGGGGAATTTAAAGAAAAGGAGAGGAAACTGGCAAGCATGAAGAGTAGAAGCACTGCTGAGACAGCTGGGGTTTCCTGAGGCACTGCGGCTTTGCATTATACTGCTGGGGTTTCCCAGGGCGCTGTGGCTTCGTGCCGTGTTGCTGGGACTTCCTGGGGCACTGCAGCTTTGCACCATGCTGCTGGGGCCACTGAGGTTTCCAGGGGGAGCTGCGGCTTTGTTCTGCAGCTCAGGGGTTTCTTGTAGCCCCAGAGCCACAGCGTGCCAAGAAACCCCTGAGCCACAGTGTGGCAAGCAGCCAAAGAGCTGCACAGTTCTGGGGCTGCTTGCCACCATGAAAGGCAGGTTGCAGGATACTGAAAAGAGCAGAGATGGGGGACAGATAGATGGGGGAGGCGGAGGGGAGACAGTCCCTTACCTTACTGAGGCTCAGGGCAGCGAGGGATCAAGCCCAGAATGGCTTGGATTGGGGTGGATCCCCAGCTAATGACGGCAACAGGGAGTGCCAGGATTGCCATCACTAAGTGAAGCAGTCATGTGACATTGCGCTTTATGACCACATCGCTTAGTGATGGAAATTCCCGTCCCAATTACCGTCATAACTCAAGGAGTATCTTTACTGCATTCTCATGCAATATCATGTGAGTTCAGTAATATTATAAGAGATCTTCAAAATCTCAATTAGGAACATTCTGAGATTGTAGCCATTTCAGAAAACAAAACAAAGCAAAACAAAAGTCCCCAGCAACTGAAAAGGTGGCATTGCATCCAGCTCTTCCTCCAGGATGCTGCCAGTTTTACCCATGCAGCACTCCTGCAGGGTAAATTAGACTGACAGATGGAAAAGCACTGGCTGAGCTGAGCAGGGAATCTGATCATTACCTCTCTGCCAACACCAATATTCTATTCATGACAGCAATTATATGGACTTTCATGGGTTGGGACTGGGAAACCTGCAAAGGTATCCTTCCCACTGGGCAACCTGAGATGTCCAAACTATCATTACTTTTCTGGGTGATCTCCACGAATCTTCAGCCTGATGGGTCAGCCACTTGAGAGACATTCCCAGAAAAGAGCAACTTCATTTTCTGCTTGCTATGAATTAACAACAGAATGAATCTCTAATGAACATTTCACTAGTAAATAGTGTATCCTTTTTAAAATACTGAATAATCCATTTGCATCACCCATTTCTTAATTCCTATGGGAGCAGGCATTAACCTGTGAAGCTAACATGGTGTGGAAATAGACACTTCTTTAAAGTACAACTGTTTGCCTTGAGTTTAAGAACTGAAATAATTTTTGAGGCGCATGCAAAAAACACAAACCTCAATCAATCCCTCTTTTCAGTGTCTAATATGAAGAAGTCAAATTCTAATTTATTCATAAATATCTCTCATTCTCAGGACAGCAAACATGCTAGGGGCAAAAAAAAAAAAGTCATTCTTCTGTGGTGTGGATCATATAGCCCCAGTAGAAAAGCACGTCTCAACCTCCACCGTTCCAAAAATGAATCGTGCAACTTAGCCACCCACCAACCTAAACAGCTCATCTCCTGGTTGTCGTGTATAAGCAGTAGGATGAGTCACTGGTTATTCCTTCTGGTAAATCTTTAAAAAGCTGTTGCTCATGCTTCCAATGAACAAATTATTTTGGGGGGTAATGCTTACAGATTTAGAACTCCTTTAGAAAGATTTCCCCCAACTCCAAAAAAATAGTCACGTATTTCTCATCGCTATTTCAGTATTATAAAAAACCAATGTGAGTTATTGGTTTTTCCCTCCAAAGTCTTCCTCTCACTTTGAAATAAGATTATAATGGGACCAAATTGTCAACTCTCTGGGTTTACATTTTGCATCTGGACGTCATTGGCTGGAATAGGAATATCTGGAGTTTTCCTGAGTAACTGTTTTGCTAAAACAACATTGTTATTTTGCAGTAAAGGGTGAGAAACTGCATTTGGCTGGCTACTGATGAAAATAAGACACTGACTGGGACTGGAAAACGGAGATAATTTTGTTTTGTTTGACTTTCAGGAAATGATTACTTTGAAATCTGACAATATTTTTTTAAAAAACATAGGTGTAGGAGAATGGTGTATGCTTTTGATATCTGAGTTTATAAAATTTTATGAAGTTGGCAAACTTTACGCACATTTCAGATGAAATGTGTTCAATTGTACAGGTTTCAGAATTAGTCAGAAATTAACAAAGGTAAATTATTTTGTGGAGTGTTGTATTTGTGCAAATTTTGTCAATACATTATTCAATTAAAAATCTGCTTCAATGTTCTTTCACCAGATTGCATCCCCAGAAACATCATTCTAGCTTGACAATGACCCTCTTCTTTCTTTATTGAACTATTCTGAATCAAATATCATCATTTCCCTTTCTTCAGCATCCTTCAGTATTTTGCAGTATATCTGGCAGACATATTATTCTGAATAAGAATATCTTATCTTCTTGAGTTTCCTGCCTCGAGCCAATAAACATCTTTCTTCACAAGTGGGCCAAAACTCCATTCAAGGAGAATAGAATGCAACAAATATTATTTTACTGTTTCAGAGTGATTTTGCTTCTAGAGTCATATATGTGGAAGTCACCTAGTCTATAGAGGATGTAAATGCAGCATCCCTGACAGATGTGCTTAAACATCTCCCATGAGGGAGGTGATCTGTTTCATTAAGATATTTGCACAGATGTTTTACTGAATTCCATTTCCTTACTGTTTCCAGCTTTTGAGCTAGTCCTGCCTTTAGGAACAACAGATAATGTGTTTGTTTCATCTTTGGCATGACAGTCTAGAGTTTAGCCTTCTTTTCTCTAAGCTAAACATACCAAGCTCTTTTAGTCATTCCTCAAAGGGCTGAGTTTTTTTCTTTTTTTCCTCTCATCCTCCTCTGGATGTACTCCAATTGCACATGTCACAACAGAAAGATGGCAAGGCAAGGCAGCATTTTGAATGAGCCTTGTTCCAAAACAAAAAGGATGCATAATTTTGGTTGCATTGGTGAAGGGCCACACTCCCCCCCAAAAAAATGGGGCTATGAAAAAATATAATAAATTTAATATTTATTAAATCATTAAGTAACTTATTTTCTCCCTTCCTCCACAATGCATTAAAACATTGCATTCAAATTGTAATTTTAAATGTGGGAGAGAGAATTATTAAATATCTTTTAATAATGAATAATTGTATAAATTTACTTGTTATTACATTTAAATGTAAATTAAATTTAACCTTTTTTTTGTCCTGGTTTCACCTTATTCTTTCAAATGGAGACCTAGCATGTAGCTGAAGGGCCAGTATGATTCTCAGGCATATAATATTGCAACTATAAAAAAAATGCATGAAAAGCATCTTGTGTAATGTTGGGGGAAATCTGTCAGCTGTCCTCAACAGTTCAGTTCACAGGCCCTGGAGAAATGAATAACTTTTTGAGGACATAAAAACAGGACATTCTGTTTTTATAATATTTCATGCCTGTACCCCTCTTCTTCATGAAACTGAAAGGGGTTGCATCTGCATCTCATTCAAATGAATAGCAACAAAAAATCTCAGTAGAAAAATATGTGTAAGCTTTGAGAAGTACAAAGTGGAATCCCACAAACAGAACTCCTCAAGTCATAGAAGGGTTGGGCACTTCTCAAAAATAAGATGGTGGAAATGCAACTACACACCATTCCAGTGAGAAGAAAAAAATGGAGAGAGCTTAGGAAATCCCTGTGGATGCATACAAAGTTTTTAGCTTACAGAAAATGGAAGATGGGTATAATCACTAAGAAGATGTATCAGCAAGTAGTTAATGTTTGCAAAAAAGAAAGTCAAAAAAGGCAGTGAGCAAATTTGCACTTAAACTCACAAAGGATGCTAATGGCAATGAAAGAGAATTCAGGGGGCTAGCTCAGCAGTAAGAGGAAGAAAAAGGGTGCCCAGTGCTTGGAGGATGATAGTAAGTGACAGGGAAAAGGCAGAGCTTTTCAACTTCTGCTTGGTTTCAGTTTCCTCCCAAATGGGGAACTGTGTCCAAATGGACCTATACAGAACCATTAAGAAAAAAGAGGGAATGGTAACCCCAAGTAAGTGAGGAAATAATTAGGGAGCACTAGCCTCCATAAACCAGTTTCAGTTCCCACGTCTAGACTGGTTATAGACCCAAGTCTTGAAGGAGCTTGTGGATGAAATCCCTTTCTGTGATCTTTGGGAAATCGTACAGAATTCTCTAGAAGACTAGAAAAGATTAGAGAAATGAAACTATTTTTCTATCTTTAAAGGGGGGGGGGGGAGAGAGAGGAAAACAAGAGGAAAAACCCAGTACCCAAGTAATATACTCAGTGGATGTACGTCACTGGCTCCACATCAAGCTGGAAGGTATTCAATGGCATATTGCATGGCTCCATTCTAGGCCCTGTGAAAAGATAGAAAACATATTTATCAAATTTATGGACAACATAAAAATACAGGAAGATAGGAAACAACATTTAGGAACCTTATAGGATTCAGGAGGATTGGACAGGCTGGAAAAATGGGCAGAAACAAATAAGATGAATTTGAGCAGTAACAATCCAAGTCTTCCATCTGAGTACAAAAAATCAAAGATATCAGTATAGAAGGAATGAAACCATACTGGGCACTAGAAAAGAACCTGAGTGTTTGATGGCTCACAAGTAGGACTTGAGTCAACAATGTGATGCAGTTGCAAAATAAGCAAAAACAATCCTAGGCTAGATCTGTCGGTACATTCTATCAGGATTGAAAATAATAATAATAATCATAATCATAATCATAATAGCAGCATCCTAAGTTCAACCTATAGCAAACTCCATGTATAGTGATCATGATCATACACATGCACCATGCACACACACACCGCAGATGCTATTTATAGTCATTCAGCATGTGTACCATGCCATACCATTGATTTAAAATCACTTCAGGTAGAGTTATTGGGGGAAAATGAAAATGGGGGGATGGTGGTGGTGAGGTGTTGAATGATCTCATTTTGTAGAATCTCTCACTTGGTAATATCATATGTCACTACTATGGGTTGATGTGGCTTAACTATTGTTATAAATAAATATCTTTATTAAGGTCTTTGACCAGCCTTTACAGTAGCAAAAGAGAAATAGTTTAGTACAACAGTTCATTATCAGGGAAAAGAAAAAAACAAGAAAACAACATATCTAATTAAAAGTTATTCACAATTTTTTGACTTGATAAAGATATTTGGCCACCTAGTATGTGAGTACAGAGTTAGCTCTCCTTAAAAAGTAATAATCATAAAATCTATCAATCTGACCCTCAAATTTAGAGATGATTGGGGAGATTAAAGCATGTCTTGGGGCATCATAAAAAGGACACCGTATGAGGACATGGGCAAGAGTTTCTGCCTCCCTGGATCCACAAGGGCAAAGTCTCTGTAAATAAGGAGTCCCATGAAAACTTCCCACCAGCAATGCTGAAGAGAGGGCATCAAAGTGGGCTCTGGAAAAGGCCCATCTATATTTGCTTAGGGTTAAATTGTATAGGTACCCCACAGTAAAGGGTTTGTGGCTATCTAACATTTGGCAACAGAGTTCAGGAGCACTGGTGACACTGTTTTGGCAATCAGTGTCCCTAAGTCTTTCTTTTACTATTGATTTGGACTTCTCCAGGGTTAATTGGCCTAAATATTCAGGAGAGAGGCCAAGATTGCAAAGTTCTTCCATATAGGTACGGTGGCAGTGAGATTGGTAGCTGTCTGACAACAGCAGGGTCATCAGGCCAGTAGGATCAAACATGTAATAACCATTCTTTATTCCACAGGGAAATTTTCAAGTGAAGAGAAAATAGTTCAGTGAAGAACAGGAGTCTTTGTAGAAATTAAACCTGAAGGTCATTATAGAACTCAGATAGAAGCCTTTTCCAGCCTGGGATCTTCAGATGTATTGGCTGAATTACAATTTCCATCATATTTACACACATGGAATTAAAAGCATGCTTTTAATATTTAGCTGTTGCATTAAGTGTCTTTAGTATTGTGAGTTCAGAATTAGTTTCCCTAGTTATGATGAAAATTGCCAGCAATTCCAGAAACCTTATTGTTTAACTGGATTTCAACTGAAATTCTAAAGCAGAGCAATGTTTAGATGCAGCTTCTAAATTAGCTAAGAATGAGTAACATACCCTAAGGGAAGTAGACCGCTTACAATTTCACCAATATGATCAATGTAACTTTCAAGCATTTTATATATGCTTACAGAAAGATGCTTGGAGGGTGCAATGCGCTCTATGCTCACATACACATTTTTCTCCGCTAATGGGCTTCAGATCACTGAAGAACACGATAGCTTTGCATGGAAGTGTAACATTTTATGTTCCCTGAGAAGATTGACTAGAAGCCTTTTGTTTATATGACACAAAATCAGCCAAGAGATTAAGAGATTAAGCTGCTCTATGATACAAGCTATGATATAAGCCATGATACAAAAAGTGAAAACTTGCAGGACATCAGATATAGCTGAACTACAAATCCAAGAAGCCCCAGCCAACAGTGAGGGATGCTGAAAATTATAGTTCAGCAACATCTGGAAGGTCACAGAATGTTGCAATCTGGAATGTTCCTTCCCCTTTTTTCTGCCAGCCATGCCTTCTTTCACATGCCCCATTACCCACATGCATACACACAACTTTCCATTGTTTGCATGTCTGCAAGCTTGCAGCCATGTTTCCTGCTTTCAGGACACTTATGTAATGTTAGTCACAGCCTGAACATGAGAAAAATAGAGAAAGATACACTACCTTTAACTTAATGCAGCATTTCCATTCCTTTCTGTTCTTTCCATTTAACGTTGCTGAATGTTTCTTTGTTATGATTTAGGTAATTATCTAATATGTGTATCCTATTCTTTGTTTATCTGAAAATAACACATGTTTTATATAAACCATTTTTAAGGAATGAAAAAACTTGCCTTGCTGGATCGGGCTACAATCCATCTGGCCCCACAGTCTGCTTCTAACAGCAGCCAGCCAGTGACCTGGGAGAAACTCACCAGTCAGATGTGGAAGCTTAATTTCCTGACTCTCTAAGTGCCATTGAATTGCCATTTATGCATGCTCTACTTGATCCAGAAAGATAACTGGATCTAGATTGGGTTTTTCATCCCAGTGAAAAACCTGCTGTTTTTCATCCCAGTGACAGATTGCCAAAGCAGCAGAAGCAACACCACTAGTTCAATCCATGGCTGTATTATAAAGAGGTAATGTTGAGAGCCAAGCTCCAGACTCACAGATACAGTAAAATGAATAGAATAAAAATGATGATTATGATTACGCATGAACATGCTGTGGTCACATCACTGGCAGCATATACATTATGAACAGCTATCACGGGTGTCTTGTTTTCTAGTAGATATGACCTACTGATCTTTATAAAAGAAAGTAAACCAAGGAATCAATAAAATATTAATGCTGAACTGAAACAGATCTATCATTAACATTTGAAACACACTGTTTTCCATCAAAAAATGTGTAGCTGCTGCTAGATACTTAGAGGCATTTACAGCAATATGTTTGCTGGCCCCTTATAGTATAAATAAAATAAAATAAAAATAAAATAAAATTCCTGGAAAATATTTAAGCAATGGGTAAATAAAACTTTTGTTCAGAGACTAATACTAAGCACAAAAAAGGACATGGTCTGTTTACTCTTCAGTTGAGTTGGCACAACATACTATACCTGCTTCCTGAATGAACTCTGAGTTTACACAAAACAGTGAATTGTAACTGACCCAGTACTGTGAGTTCATGCAACACAGTAAATGCCTTTCCCTTGAAGAGCTATGCAGGGCCAGATTGCATTAGGTTGTAAGCTAATAATGCAACAAACATGTCCCAGCAACCTCTTTGTTCTGCAAATTTCTGCCTCTTTACCTGAGGAAACCAACTGTTCTGGTGTTAAAGTGGTGATTTCACTATAATGCAGGAGGCTTCAGTGAAGTTGGCGAAATGCATGAAACTGGTGGAGACTGGTAGGGCTTTGCCATGAGAAGCAAGGAACTAACTTAGGTGGTAGGGAATAACTTGAGTATCCAGGGTCCTTAAATTAGCAGGATGTAGAAAAGAGGCCTCAGTTATAAAGGTAAACAGTACAGAAATAAGATAACTGTAGTTAGATCACAAGATGAGTGGCTTCTTAGTGGATAAAATGGAGCCTGCAAGGAAATTGGAATTGGGGACCTTCCAAAAGGAGCGGAGAATTCACCCCGAGGTGGGAGGAAGAAATGAAACTTAGGAGTTTGGAAAAGGTATAAAAGGCATGGAGTTGTGGGTGCAAACATGGAGACTGAGAAGCAAGAAAAACACAGAGCAAAGGGCAAGAACAAACCTAGGGATGCAGATAGGCTTGATCCAGAGAGACAAAGCTTGGAGGAAATGGTTAACATAGGAAAGCAATCTAAAAGGATAGAGAGAGTCAGAAATAATTCTTAAGAGTAAGGGAAGAAAGAAACAAATTTTAAAGTGAGTCAGGCAGCTAAAGAAAAGAGGGAGATAAGAAACAAACCATTCCAATTAGGAGAGCAAGTAACCCAAAGATTAGAAAGATTTTCCCTTCCTTGAAAGACCCTCTCTGGATCCAGAGGTGTTATTGCCCGGTCTCCACCCTGCTCTAAAAAGGGAACGTTGAGATGGTGGTGAGGAGTCAAGTACATAGGACCCTAGAGGAAGTGGGTTATCTGGACTCTCTTCAGTCAGGGTTAAGGCCTGGACATAGGATGGAGAGGACAATTTAGGTCCCTTTGTGGGGACCTAAATGGGAGCAGGGAGCCCATCCCGGTCCTTTCAGACTTCTCAGCTTTCAGTACACTAAATATGTTATCCTTCTACACTGCCTGTGGAGATTAGGGCTGGAGACGGTGTGTTGCAGTGGTTTAGCTCCGTCCTTAATGGTTGGTTTCAGTCAGTGTAAAAGTAGAGATCAGGCTGATGGCTACTCCTTTGTAGGCTGCTGCAAGGTCAGTCCTCTCCCTACTCTTATTTAACATCTACATGAAGCCACTGCAAGAGGTTCCAATGGGGTTTGAGGTTCAGCAACATCAGTGTGCTGAGGATACTCAGCTTTACATCATTACCCCATGCCAGAGTAGAGATGCTGTTAAGTCCTGTCCCAGTGCCTGGAGGCTGTGAGAGTCTGGATGGGAGAGAACATCAAACTGAATCATAGTAAGGAGTTCCTGTTTGCCCATTGGGTTCCCTGTCTGCTACAGGGGTCTTTCTTGTTAGGGTGTCATTGCCCCTGAAGAAGCAGGCCTATTACTTGGGGGTCCTCCTGGACTCACAGTTCCTGCTGCAACAGCAGTGGAGGCAGTAGTCTGGGAAGCTTTTCCCAGCTTTGGCTAGTGTGCCAGTTGCAGCCCTATCTCAGGTAGG